CACACACACACACACACACACAAGCACGCACGCACACACACACACAGACAACGCGGTGATCAACTAAATAGAAAGGACAATAAAGAAGAAGGAAGAAGAGGAAGAGGAAGGAAGAAGAGGAAGAAGAGGAAGAAGAGGAAGAAGATTGTAATGGTGCATTTCGATTTTGCATTTTCGTTTTGGACCTTTTCCGAGAACCTCACGACAAAGGATAGGCAGACGTCAGATAGCAAACCAGATTCTCCTGTCTTTTACGCGTGTGCACGTGTGCTTGTGTCATATTGTGTGTGTGTGTGTGTGTGTGTGTGTGGATACAACAGGACCTCACTCACGTAAGAACATTGGGTGGGACAGGCGTTTCATCGGGGCTTCCCGCCGACTTACAGTACTAGGGTTTAGGTGCGCGTCTCGCGCAACCGTGTTCTGCCTAGTATCTTCGTCCAACGCCTGCCTGCCTTCAGTTACTCTTTCTTTTCTGTTGGATTTTCGCCCAGATAACTGACACCAGCCGTTTCGCTACGTCATCGCATTTCCTCTAAGTATGGAGGAAGGAGAGAGGAAGGAGAGAGGAAGGAGAGAACAAGGAGAGGAAGGCGAGAGGAAGGAGAGAGGGAGGTGCTGCTTATTCTCAGGGACCGATTGACCTTTACAGTGTTTACACCACCCTGAGGTCAGGTCTCGAGCATTTCGCGAAATGATACTGCTGACCCAAGAGCCTACCGTCTTCAACCGAATAGAACGCCCGGTCATTATAGCCGTATCTGGGGCACTTTTCTATCTAGATGCAGCGATAATGACAGGGCGTTCTATTCGGGTAAAGACGGTAGTTCAGTGGGTACACCCATGAACTTCATTCATGTTCATTCTCACTACCCTTCTTCACTCGAATACAACGTACGGTAATTATTCCTGTCTTTAGACGGAGAGATACCCCAAATACCGCTATAATCACCGTACGTTGTATTCAGGTGAAGAAGTACGCAGGACGGACTAGCATTCAAAACGACCCCAAAGCCCTCGATGGCAGCGCGGTAGTGATCACACAGCGGGGTTTAGAAATCATATCGGGTCCGAAATGAAACACGGCATGATCTTGTACAGATGTCCATCAGGACCACGTGGTGAAGTTTCAAAGGAACTTTCAAAGATCCGTCCGCAGACTATTAGGGCGTGGGTCATCAAAACTAACCAATCATAACATGGGCGTGCTTTGGAGTTATTGGGCCTCGCTCCACTGCTCACCACATGCACAAATGATAAAAAATTACGGCGGTGTATGTTTCGATGTAGAGTCATTCTCATTTAGCACAGCTGGTAAGTAGTGGAGCGAGGCCGGCGCAATGTGGAGGAGAGGAAGGCCCACTGCGCGCCAAAAGTCACCCATCAGAACACCGGAATCCGCCAAAGATCGTTCGATGCACCATTGCGCGCCAGGCCCACTGCGCGCCAAACGTTACCCATCGTAGGGCCTCGTTCCACACCACTTCACTTGAAACTCGCGCACTCGAGTTATAATCGTGATTAAAACCACTTCACTTGAAACACTCGCGCACTCGAGTTATAATCGTGATTAAAAAAATATGATTAAAAAAAAACCTGAATCACGTTCCACTCCAGCCTCGACTCCGCTCTTGAAATGAGAGGGGAATGGTGCTGCAACAGCTAGCCAGAGGTTCAACCAGGACAAACGCCGTACCAAAAAGGAGAATAAACGAAGGAAAAAAAAGGTATAATTTGCAAAATACCCTACAAGTTGAGATATATGCCAAAATGCCCCTAAAAGATGTGGGTAGAGCGGAATGCCCTATTGCCATCTTTTGGGCCTAATTCTTTGCATTTCGCCCCTGTCAGGCCCATGTGCAAATTTGCAATCTGGACGGCGTCTTTGGGGCCTGGGCCTGCACCCTGTCGTACCCGGTTTGCCCTCCATACCGGGTGGGCAACGTTGTGCAATACCCATGCCCGTCCAGGCAGTTTGCCTCCATGTTCGGCAGCTTCCTTCATAGTCCCGCCTGGTGAGGTTCCCCATCTCGAGCTCCTCCTCCACATCCCCATCTCTGAAATCCTCCTGCTCGCCAGTCTGAGAACTCTCTCTCTCTCTCTCTCTCTCTCTCTCTCTCTCTCTCTCTCTCTC